AAGGGAGTGAGCGTCGAACTACCCTATGTATTGAAAGGATATACATATGCCTAGAAGGATCATACCCCAACTGTAAACCCGTGTTAAAGGACTGAGGACCGCGGTTTTATGAATCCTTGAAAATGCACGAGAAATGTCATTTTTGCCATGTCCTTTACGTTTAAGAATGAGGACAATGACTCGTGTGAGAGAATTATGGAAGCTCGGGGCATTTGCCATTCATAGCGCTAATTCTAGGATAGAATCGTCGAGAATATGTTTCGATATTGACAGAACAAATAAGATGTCTTTGGTTGATCGCATCATAATGGAGGTCAGCTCCGACTCATGAGCTTCAAGAGAGAAGCGTGCTACAAAGAACCCGCCAAGTAGGCATGTAAGCAGAATGATGCCCCTGTGGTTAATGCTTTCCGTTTTATTTCCTGCCAATTACTCATAGTTTGGGAATACGTCTGTCCATCGGGCATTCGGGAAAACGATTAAGAATTATTTCCGTAAAAAAGCCATCTGTTGGGCAACAAGTTTATGTCAATTTGTCTTCAAACGGTCTTAAGTCAAGACCGTAAGTATTTTTGAAATCATTGCTGATCCATTAAGAATGTTCAAACGAATGAGCTTGTTTATTCTGCCTGATTCATTGGTCCAGTGCCGTTCGTTTTCTGTTACATTTCTCTGCATAAATAGTCGTCGGTTGTGAAGTCTTTCAGAAAATATAGGAGGAAGCCTTTTAAGAGTAGGAAACGAGAGTACAGTTGAATTAAAATATAATTACTGGTACAGTTCACTAATGCTTATGACTGAAAGAAGATATTTAACATTACACATAATTCATGATTGAGGGGGCCACACGAAGCATATGTTAACACTTTGTACAAACACGTTTCGTTACGCGCGCCGTGGCATCGGCAGAGTACAATTGGTTGTGAAACAGCTGGAGACGATTGTCCATAAGGCATTTGAAATTATACTATATATCTCAAAAGTTTTATAATAACTTTTTTAATTAATATTTGTCGGTAGCAAGTAAAATCGATGGTAAACGCTCTCATTATGAATTCGCTTCGTTTGTGCTCCGGTGGGACACACTTCGTGTCCTGATGATGATACCGAAGAGTTGTGGTAATGAACTTGTTTATCGTTGGGTTTGTATGGTACCCTCAAACATGAACTAACGACATAGCTATAAAACTACAATTCCATCAAGGGGGACAGGACCAGAAATGTCAAATCACCTAGAAATGTACTGTTTGCTAATCAC